AAAACTACCATTAGGCAGAAAAATCAATCAAAATGCCATTAAAGTGGAATAAGTTGCCAATATTGCTGATGTGGTTGCAGGTCCTTTGATTTTCTTTCAGATTATTAGGCACAGTCTAGTAGTGACTTTGTTAAGGGAAATGAGTGTTGTTCAGAAGTAATATGTCTCTTGGCTTCATAAAGTTTGTGGCCTCATATTTCCCAGTTTATTGATTATCCATTATCATTTGTCATGAGGCGTCCTAACTCAAGGGGAAAATATAACTCTCTTTTTCTTGCTGAGCAGTGGTGCTGTATAGATCTGTAGAAAGGTAGTTCAGATGTACCAATCTTGGAGAAAAATGAGCAAAGAAATAAAGCAATGAGCGTGCCTTCCAGGTCTAAGCAGTTTAAAGGGTAGATTGCTGACAGTACTTTGTTCTCACATCAGCCCTTTTTCCCCTTATAACACAAGAACAGCAAGATATAAGTTCACAAGGCCATCACAGTAACCTTAATGCTGTACTGCAGCTGTGTTAAAACGTAAATATTAAGTGTTCTTTGTCTACTTTGAAGACTACTACATGTACAGAAGTTTTCTTTACATGGATTTAATTTTCTTAGGTACGCTATGGTTATTTCTCCTAAAGTCTGCAAAGATTTAATTTAATTACTACTTTAATGTTTGCATAATTGCAGTATAAATGGAAGCAGTTTCTTCATTTGAAAGAAATATATGTTACATCCTGCCTTTCTTCATGATGTTCACCTGATTATTCAGTTTGACCACAACTAGAAGCAGTGTAGAAGCTTGAGTAAGAAGAGCAGATGACATGCTTTTGTTTAAAAGGAGGAGATCTCTGCAAGAACAGTGTTTCAATAAACTTTATTTTCTGACTGATATTGTTTACATAAAAACCTTAGCACTTCTGCACAATTTGGCTTTTACACATCAGCCTCTTGGTGTGCTGCCACTGCGGTAACTGGCTTTCTGAAAACAGAATTAATTTTTCTTAGTTGCATAGGTAATACAAAATTAGTAATATGCAGTTGTCTGGGTTTGTTTTTTTTTTAATTTTGCAGGACATAACATAAGTAGATAATGTTTATATAAGCAAGAAAGATAATATATTAAAAGCTAGTGTAGCAGTCAGGTTTGTCCGATGCCTTTTCTTCTGAGGGCTTAATAAAAAACTTGTAGAACCAGTGTGACATCAACATTATATAAAATTCACTATGTCAATTCATTATTACTGTGATACAGGTAAAGAATAGAAAGTCTGGTAACCTCCACTGAGAAACTGAAGCTGGCAGTCTCAGAAATACAGGACATTTATTTTGCGCCTGTAGCTCATTACTCAAGGTAGTGTCCAGTTAAACATTTCCCTTACTTTTTTCATAATCAAGTCATGATACTTAAATCAGTAGCCCTTGAAAACAGTGAATTCTCAGTCTTCCTCAGTTAACACTCTTCATTAGTCTACCATTCAATCAACCTCACTATTGACAAACTGTTACTTGTGTATTATTGCTACCTACTAAAAAAAATTTCATTTTTAGTGTTTTAAAGTAATTATATACACTGCCTTCTGATTCATATTTTCATTTTTTTTATCCTGTGTACAAAATGCAATTTTAACAGTGCACAAAAGCTAAAGTAAAATGTCTATTCTTAACTATTCACTTAAAAAAGAAATGCTTATTTCACATGAGATACATAAGATTCAAATACGTAATATGCCATGATGAGCCTGAAAGTGTTTTACATACACTTTATCTTGTATGTTGGAAGTGTTTTATATAGTGGTTTAGTATATCATTCTTTTTAAAACATTTGCAGGAACTTTTGCTTCTGCTTGTGATGATGCCAATCTTTGTAGCTCTTGCATAGCCTTTAAACTAATTTTGGTTTGTATATTCGTTTGCATTACAGTATAGTTTTCTAAAACAAATATTTTCTTGAGAATACTACTTTCAATTGACTGTCATGCTTTTAGGAGACAACATTCAGGGAGAATATTAAAATGAGAGTCTCCTTTGCTTTCAGCAGAGTGTTTACACACATTCATTGTTGCTTATATGGCAAAATCGTGGCTTATATGGCAGATCCCTTCATGTCACAGGTTCCAGGACCCCTTTTCACAGTGATATCTGAGACTTTCAGTTCAGTCATTGAAGAGAGTGACAAAGCTTTGGCCCCACTTTGGGACAAAAGAAAAATTAAGAACAGGAAGAGAGCAGTTTTTCACTTTGTTTACACAAGCCAAGCACACCCAGGTTAAAGGAATTTGCCTGAAGTAACACAGGAAATCTTTGGCAAAGCAGGAACCTTGCTAGTCTCAAGTCTAGTCTACGTTTATGGATTCAGTGGTACAAATATACCCACCAGCTGAACTCTGTCAGCAGTTGTTCCCAGGAAGGAGGCAGATTATGCTTGTGCAGCAGTGTTGTTTTTCTCTAAGAAATCATAAAATGAAGTGTGTGAATTTTTTTAGAGAGCATTTTTCTAGACTAGTTTTTCCACCTTTATTAGTAATTAAATAGTGTATGCAGCTACCCAGATTAAACGTCTGGAGAGATAATGCCTGTGCTTGCAAGACCTATTTGAAAATAAACTAAAGGCATCTCCTGATTTATGGTTGGGTTTTTTTTTTGTTGTTGTATCAATCTCAGTGAATGAAAGACTGGTAAATACTCCTAAATTCACTTCTGATTTCTTTTGTGTCTCATACATTTGAACATAGCACAGAAAGCCTTTTACCAGCTTTTAAGTACAGTGAGATAAACGTGTCAACACTGAATAAGTAAATAAATAAATTTGAAAACTGCTAAACTAGAATCATCAAATCATAAAGTGCTTAAGATTGTTCAGACCAAACACTGTTTTTAGAGGCTGTTTTGAATTTTTACATACCTTCGTCCTTAAATTCTCATAGGCTGTGGTTGTTATTTTGAGTTACATTTTCTTTATACTAAGCACTTTCCTTAGGAGCTGCAAGATGCTTTTGAAGCACAAATTGTCCTGTAAAACTGGTTAAGTAGACAAGGGCCTGCTTTCACCCTGTGCTAATACAGTCCTTTGGTGTTTCAAGCCTTTTAATTGTATCAGAATGGGTTTAAGTAGCTACAAAGTTTGTAGTTGCTGGTTTGATATTTTTCAAAATTATCTGCATCATAAATGTTTTCTTTTTATAAAAGTGTGTCTCTCTTCCTGCCAAGTGGATAACTGTGCTAACAGGGGTTTTGTATGTTTTTGTTCCTTATTTCTTTAGCCTCCAAAACTCTTATTAATAGTATGCTACGGGACCCTTCTCAGATTCCAGATGGAGTTCTGGCAAATCAAGTCTATCAGGTATTAATCACAGTTGTTTTTTTCTTTCTTTTTTTTTTTTTTCCTGTGGCGGTGCTGTTATCTGTCTAGCAGAGTAAAAGATTTTAAACCTCATTTAATTACTGTCATCATAAACTATCAGTGAGGTCAGGGTGCACCATAAATGGCAATGCAGTATTTGTGAGGGGAGCATTTCAGTTTTTAATAGCTTGCTTTTATAGTGAATAAAAGCATGCAGGTTTTGTTTTCTGTGATTAAATCTGAACAGCATCTGATAGCCTTTTTGAAGAAAAGTAATTACTGTTTTTAAGGTTCTTTTTAACTATAATGGTTTCGCATTGCCCATCACTATACTACTTCTCTTATTTGTCGGCAGTGTACTGTGAATGACTGTTGTTATGGACCACTGGTGGACTGCATCAAACAGTATCCTTTCCCATAAAATTTTAGGTGCACAATTGACGAGTTTAGGCTGTGTGGAAGAGATGTGTCTAGCTTTAACCTGACATAAAGTTCTGCTTCACAAAACACGTTTCATACTCCTCTGTTTTGCATTCAATCAACTAGAGGGTCACTGCAAAGCTTTCTCTTATACTGTTTAACAAGAATCAGATGGGGCACGGGAAGTTGTCAGTTTGCTGGCTACACGTTCATATGCCTGATTGAACCTCTTTGGTTTTGATTAGTTGAAATTCATGTCTGGTTTTCTATTAAGACTGGACAACAGTGCTTGGAGTGGTGGAGTTGGGCTAGATATCTCTGGAGATATCTTCCAATCTCAACTCTTCTGTTGAGTTTTAATTGTAAGGTTTTCAAGTGCAATTCAGGTATGATTGACCAGTTAGTATTTTGAAACTCTGACATTCCATGCAGTTCTTTTACTTTCTCTTCTTCGTAAAGGAAATGGGTCTAGCTGTAGGAAAAAACCCTATGTAGCTTGAATTTTAAGGGTGTTGGGTTTGGTTGGGGGGGGGGGAGGGTGTGGGGTTAGTGTTGAAATAGTTAATTAGAGATCCTCAATATCCAGTGAGAATCCTGGGGAAACCTCTCAGTGCTGGGTATTCCAGACTAAGAGTATAATTTGTTAGGAAAGATCACTGCAACCCTAACTCTGTTTTCATAGAATCATAGAATGCTTTGGGTTGGAAGGGACCTTAAAGTCATCTAGTTCCAGCTCCTCTGCCATGGGCAGGGACACCTTCCACTAGACCGGGTTTTAACAAGACCAGACTTCAGTGAAGTCCTGAATGAGTAGCTCTTCTGTTTCAGTCTGCTGTGAAAGGAAGAGTTTCAAAATCATGACCTCCTATCACTGAGCCAGCTAGCAAGGCAATTGGCTCCCAGGTCCTGGGGATTCCTTGCATAAATCTCTGCATGAAGTCTGGGGGAAGATCCTGATTTCACTGTACAGTTGCAGGATAGAACAGCTACAGTGATGTTTAGTTATGCATGAAAAGCACTTTTTTTAGGCGTGATACATGTGGTAGTCACCCGTTAAAAATATGTTCTTTCCATTAGAAATACTTGCCTGGTGTCTACTACAGACTCAGCCCTGCTCCCATTAACTTTAACAGGTGCAGGATGAAGTTCTAATTATACTTGTATTTTCTGGTTTTAATCATAATTTTATGTATTCATTCAACATATCTTCATATCTTCAACATTAAATACAGCTCTATGACAGTGGATTAATCTAATAAATCACAGTTTTTAAAAGATTGTTGATCATTAATTTTCACATCTAGTAATGTAAGATTAATATTTTTATGACAAACAGTCTGGCTATAGTCTTCTGAAAGTGTCATTTTTTAAAGTAATAATAACAGAATATGTAGAATTATGACCAGTTTTTAAGAATAACTTGCCTGCAGTCTATAAGTCTTTTCTATCCTCTTCAGATTCTGGTTCAAGTGAAGTTATTGACTCTGCAGTGACATCAGTAAGCATAATGAGGATTTTTTTTAATTCCGTTTTTGGTACAGAAAAGTTTAATACTAAACTGTGCAAGTGCATTATCTGCAAGTATGTTGCTGAATTAGATGTTAATTTTGAGGTGCATAAAATAGTTTAAAATCAATTTAAAGTTAAGGTTTTAAAAGCATAATGTCTTCTGAAGGATTGCATATTGATTTTAAATATAACTATCTAATTGTATATGCATGGACTAAAGTATGAAGTCAACCTCTTTGTAAATGCCAAGAGGCTATTTTTCAGTAATAGTTCAGATGCTTACGGGAAACTAGGCTGCTAGATTGCATGAGTAGAAAATGGCTTGTGAGGTTATTTACAAGTTTTGCCCCATGGTTATTGCCATACATCAATAACAGGTATTATTATGGACTAAGTCTAAGTGTTTCTGCTTACTATGCATTATAAATTCCATTTGCAGTATTTTTCTTACATTTCTGCTGTTTTTCATTTACCCCTTTTGTTCTGTAAATGCTCATAGAGTTTAACATAATATACAGTTTTATTAATAAAAACTATATGTGTAAATGCAGTGATTCCATACAATTGGTATTTTTGCTGGTTAGCATAAAGTGCTGATATAAATTAAGTAATTAACTCTCATTGTAATGTAGTTTAAATTTTCAAAAGTTATTCTAAACAGAGTTAGGAACTTAACTGTTTTTAATGTAAGGTCCTTTATCATGATGTTCCATAAGATTCTTCTTAAAAGCTTCCAGAACAGAACTTTGACCTCCAGGAAGATACATTAAAAATACTTAATGTGGTGACTTTTCTACATGTTGCTAAGAATAGCACATTGGATCAACAGGCTGTCAGTGAAGTGAAAAGGACTTCACTAGAAAATATTTCATCCTTCCCTAAGTTCATGCTTCTGAAAAATGAATTAAAAGGATGTTTTGTTACAGTAAGATGTTTCAAATGGCTGTGATGCCTATCAATTTCTGAACATAAGGAAAAAAGCAGTTTATTTCATTCTTTGCTGAATTAGAGAATTGATACACTTGCCAGTAAAGAGCAAATTAAAAGGTATTTCTTTACATGTTTTAAGCTCACTTTTGTTTAATTTTGGGAGGGAAATAAAGCAAAAATTTAAATATTAGCCTTACTTATGCTGAATAAATGTGATTTAACTGGTCTTATTTTTGTAAAATGTATGCTGATGATACAGTAGTCTAATTTTCACAAAGTGCTAAATGCCTCTAAAACTCCCTGTAAGGTATTTAAAAACTTAGAGTTCAAATCATTGTTCACTTCAGAAATGCAGATGAAGGCAAATGTATTTTATCATTAGCTATTTTACCTGTGATGTTTTTCTGAAGTTGGTTCTTCCATTCCTTAATCTAAAGCTATCAGCGCTATCGGGCATGAGCATGAAGTCTTGCTGCGAGAAATGCTTTTGGAAAAAAATCTCTCTTTCATAGGTAAGAATTTGTAGTAGGGGCTAGCCAGCAAATCCTTAACTTCAAAGATTTCAGTGACTGTTTACCTAAGAAAAAAATAAGTCTCAACACTCTTTGTATTAGGTAGTAAAGGAAGAGTAAGAAATGATTGATGCTGTACATGTTATCTTTTATTGATTTAGAACTGAGCAGGAACTCAGTTACCTAACACCCTCTATATACAGCACATGCACAGGCTTGCAATTAATATTTTATAGAATAAGTAGCTGAAAAAAATGCTTTAATATCTGCTGCAGTATTACTTTTGGTGTCATGAGATATTAGCCATAATCTAGGCCTTATGAGACTTAGGAGGAAGCATAAGAAATATTAACTTCAAAATGCTTTATGTATTAAAGAACTGCGAGAGAATTCACTCATTTAGCTTTCTGTGCAATTTCTGCTGAATTTTTGCCCCTGCCTACTAACTAATGCAAGTACTCATTTCACAATCCCTATATTTAAAATAATTTTAAGGATTCATTATGAAGTTATTTTCATTTTTTTCTTTTAGCCTGCACTATGTTTCTTGTGCATGAGTGCCATTAAAACAAAGATTAATATTTAAAGCATCATTTCTCTTATTGTGATAATAAACTGAACAGTGACTTCTTAAATCTGAACTTCTTATATGATGAGACAATAGCAAAGTGAAATGCTATCTTTTGTTGATGTTGCACTAAATTTGTGTGGCCGGGGAATTTTGCTGGTTTTATCAGAAACTATGATCTTTCTTAAATCTAGACTCACGTTAATATTTTGGAAACTTTAAACAAATTTAAGAAATTAGAATGATTATTAAGGTTTTTAAAATATTTGCCCATGTAATTAAGGAACAGAATTAGTACGATCTTTTATTTTAGAGAAAAAATGAAAAAAAGACAGAAATAAGTATTGCATACAAACCTGCAGATGACATTGTGAAAATGTGAGGAAGTAGTTTTTCCTACTTAGCTATAAGAGCAGAGGTACAGGTAATAGACTTAAGCTGTAATTGCAGAGATGATGATGAGTTAAAATACTAAGCAGTTCTAGGAGCTGTAAGTATAAAACAAACTGCCAGGGAAGGTTATGGAATCACCTTCAGTGGAAAATTCAAGGCTAGACTTGACATTCATCTGTCAAAGCTGGTAATGAAACCAATCCTGTCACGATACGAGAGAATGGACTAGATGACTCACAAATGAATCCTCAACCCAATGATTATCATTTTATTCGGCTTGTGCAAGCTTGTGTACTGCACAAATCAGATTTAAATTTTGATGTTTTGTGACCTTGGATAAGCATCAGTTTTATCTTTAAAAATAAGCTTTAAGAAATTTGTGTTGTCAAAGTATCTAGAATGGATTAACTCATTAGAATAGAAACATAAATGAGAGAGTTTGTTGTTTAGATACTATGCATAGTGAAATACTGTTTAGTCATGATTTAAGATCTGTTAGATGGGTGTATTTATTATTTCTGTCCATTGCAGGTGTTTTTAAGGTTTTAGGTATTAAAAAAAAAATAAAATTCCTTAGTATGTGCAAGATTAACCCTACTGAATCCCTCACAATAAAATCTTTCCTTTTTTAAGAATTACTTCCAAAACTGCTTGAAGATAACTTCAGCAAAACAGAAGAGATGACAGTATTTCCTATATTCAGGCTTTGTTAGGCTCTGAGAAAGACTACATTCCAGTTTTGAAGATGGCCCAGGACTTAGATTGCTGTAATTGCAATTCCATTACTTTTTAACATGTGTTACGAAAAACAAATTCTGCAGTTTCCATATTAGTTTACTATTCCTCAAGAATAGTAAGGTTTTGTAGCAGCTCTCTTCACCTGAGCAACAGAGAGTCTAAGGACATGGTGAATATAAATCGCCCCAGTATAGTCTTGGAGCATGAAACAGCTCTTCAGTTCCAGGACATAATTTGTCTGTTTCTAGAGCAGTTAGCTTTCAGAGCCTACAGATCAGATGTAAGGTTCACCCAGAAATTGATTTGAAACCTATATAAACTAACTTTGCTTTTTTGTTAATCTACTGTTCATGAGAACCATATCATTTACCATGTCCTCTCTTCAACAAAAACACAGCTTTCAAATACTTATCACTTTGCTTAGGATTAAAGTGATCAGTGTTCTCTCAAAACAGGCGAACCGTTTCACTTGCCATACTGAAATGCCAGGAATTTCTAGGTTCTGCGTAGGATCTTTATGGGTTTGTACCTTTGCCATGAATATATTAGTAAAGTTTTTAGCTGTATGGGGAGGTACTGACCTTTGTCTGGAATCTTATCCTCCTTTGGTTCCCACTGTGTCCTTCAGTAGTAGCCTGGATATAAATCATGAAATCTGGTCAGTGTTTTCTCCTGTAATCTTAAATTTGCAGTTGCTGTTCATTCATGCACCAACAGAAGAATGTTTGGTTTCTTTGTTATATCCAGAGGCTAGTATAAGAACAATGATGTGTTAAATGGTTATGATTGAGTGTGAAGTTACCATAAAGATGAAGCTGCAGTTTTGTTGGAAATCTAAATTAATGGGGAATCTGTAGAAAACTACTTAGTAGTGCTGTTTCAACGTAATTTTCAAATCTCAGGATGCATAAATGTAACTGTCAAAGCTGTTGGGGGCTGGCTTTCAGTCAGTTGTTAAATTATTCTCTCAACCCATGCAAAAGCTAAAAGATCTCTTTTAAGGTGCAGAATACTACCTCTGTAGCTTCTGGACAAATCTGAAACATAAGTGGGCTGAAAAGCTAGAGCTTCTGTTTTGGTGGGGTTTTGGTTAAAAAAACGGGTTTATGGTGATTGTGGGAAGTATCTGTATCTCTTTCCCCTCTCCTCCCCTCCTCCCTCTGCCAAATTTATAAAGAAATGGTAATCTATAATTATGTTGCTACACGATAGACATCTCACATCAATAATAAACATGGTTTTTAACCTTATTTTATAATGCTATTCACAGTACAGAATGTCAGGAGAAACCAAGTGAAAACATTCAGAAACAGACTTAAAGCAAAAACCACGTTCTTTCTAAAGCCATGTGTTACTATCACACAATCTGATTTCGACAGAATGATTTCTATGATTCTACAATTCTATGATTCTAAAAGTAATCAAGTAGCCTTGAAAAAAAGAATCTGCAGAAGAATATTGAAAGTAATGCTGATGCAGACTCCAGTTCTGAGACTTGCCAAGTTGACTTATCGTGAAATGTTTACCCCTTCCTGGCTTTCAGTGGGTTCTTTTAAGTTACATTTCCCTGAATTTCTGATGCTAGCATTTGTTAGATATGAAAGAAAAATACTGAACTTTCTATTGCTATTTGTGTCTTCTTAAACAATGAAAACTTCATCTTGAACATCCTGTTGTCTTTTTTGTACTGTTTCAAACAATTAAGAACAGACTACAGTTAAATAGAGTTGGATAAAAGTGAATTTTTTTTAATCAAGATTAAGAGATCACAGACAGTTAACTCATTTTTATGTTATGGCACAAAACTCTCGACTCATACGTTCTGTTAAATTAGAACTTTGTTAATCTTAACACTGTTTATCCACATTCCTGACAATGTTGACAAATTTGAAAAAACAGCCAACAACCAATTCTGTCTCCAAATCCTAAAAAGTTTAATAGCTGATCAGGTGATACAGTGAACTGTTGCATTGCAAAGACTTGTATTTACAATATGGTGTGGTTACAGTGAAGAAATACTCTCAAATTTCAAAAGAAATACTGCACCTATCAAAATTAATAAACAGCTATTGCAGTTTACACCTAACTGAATGTACAACTTACTTCGCAAAATCACTCCTGTCCCGCTTTCAGTTATGACTTCACTGTATTAAAAAAACACTTCAGACTTACATTCTTCAATGGGAACGGGGAGGAGAGCTTGCTTTAGGTGCTTTTAGAATATTTGGATTTCTAAGAGTGTATGTTTTTCTTGTCATTAAAATGTTACTTGGACTCAAACTGCTGACCTTTCAGGATATTCACAAAGTATTCAAAAACTGAGTTCTGAACATTGGCCATGAAACTACTGTCCTAACCTGATAAATGGATTGGAAATAAGCTACCCAACAGTGAGAATGGACCATTAATTTTAATCAAAGGTGATGTAGAAAGGCGAATGGGATGCATGACAATGTCAACAGCCCAGTAGGTGTTAAGGGGCTACACAGCCTTACTTGTTACTAGGTAGTGCCATTAGTTGAGCTTGGGTGAAGACAGAAAGCCATGCCTGGAATTGAATGACCAGGTCACTCCAAATTCTAATGGATAAATGGTGTTTTAGAAATGCCAGTGTAATGGTATCAGAAATCAAGGACAATAGTTTAGAAAATATTAAGGGCAATATTAAGGGCTTGCTTGGGCTTCCTTTTTTTTCTTTTTTAAGGAAGCGTCTTTTGTCTTCTGCAGTTTTATCTTGCTCAGTCATTATTGTTTCTTGGAATATTCAGCTCTAATATTTGTAAGCAATAGAGTTGTATAGTTTATGTTAGCAGAATTTCTAGGTCTTTGTATGTTCTGAAATTGAATAAATTCTATAGATTGCAGGGTGCAAGAGAAACTAAAATTGTGGCTTCTCTCCTTCATAAATTTCTGGAAGAAAAGGATTTTCCTGTTCTTTTTTTTAACAACTTTATGCTAACATTGAAATAAAACCAAGAAGGCAGCTACAGTATATCTACATTTGTGGTGTTGATAGGATTAGTCTTAATGCTTCCTAATGTGGGGAGACTCTTCTTTCAATCAGCAAATATACTTCTTTATTTTGAATATTTGGAGGTTATAAAATACTATATGACAGCTTGAATTAATGATGTTTATAATGAAGACATAAAAATGCAGGGATGACAAAGAAGCATTTTTATATCCATGCTTCAGTTTTTCTACAAAGGTTCATTTAATCTGACACAGCATTGCATGCATAAGAAAGATATGTATGACTGCATTAGTAATTCTTGCACTCTTATTTAAAATAAAAATAATTATGCTGCTGTCTACTTAACAGAAGAGTTTTATAAACAATAGTTCTTATTCTGTATGTATAGCTGAAGATCAGCTTCGTGCAAAGGGTTATGACAAAACACCAGACTTCATTTTAGAAGTGCCAGTAGGTAAGTCTTTTAAAGAATTGTTATTGTTTTATTTTGAGTAGAAGAGTGCATGCTAAAATATTACAGCTACACATTACAGCTATACAGCTGTATATTAAAGGATACTACAAAGTAGGGTTTTTTTTTCTTTGGTAGTTAACCTAATAATTTTAAGAACAGAACTTCTAGTTTGTGTCAGAGAGGTTTGCTCATAAGTAGTATTACCCAGTGCTTCTTCTTTGGTTGCTGCATGTTTTTGTCTCATTATCACAAAAAAGAAAACCAAGGAACAGTCAGAACCCCCAGATGCCTGCTCCCTCTAAACTGCTCTGCACACTGTCTTTCTGAACTGAACTCTGAAATACCTATTAATGTTTTAGACTTCTAGACCAAATCAATTCAAAGCGGTGTAGAGTATTACCATTGCACTTATAGGTCATTGCATGAAGATTTGTTGTAGTGCCATTATTCTCTTGCCATCACTTTGCATCTAAATACAACTCTGCAGTTCTCTTTTTTTTTCTTTAATCCTGTGTAGCAAGAAGCAAGAAGGAATAAAAGTAGGTATAAAGGTCATGTCAAAGCTCATCTACATTTTCTGGTCTTGAGGCCATGTAAGAAGGTAATCAGCTGACGTAGTGGCTGGGCCATGGAAGAAGAAGCATCAATGCTGTCTAAGTGTAAAGGATTATTAATCATCTTTTGTAAATTGACTTTCATGCTAAAAGATGATGACTTTGCCTCCATAGAACACAGCACCTGTCAGTGCAGGTGTCTGACAGAAAAAACAAGGCTGAAAGCAGCCTGTGAAAGTCATATACGTGACTAGCTTTTTGTTCTTCATATTGACAACAGTTGGAATTCTTACTAACTGATTTATACACTGATATAAGGAACTGACATGTGTACTATAAAATGTCTCACTACTCGGAAGTGCTTGAGATACCATCTTTCAGCACGACAGTCTGTTATTTAATAGATAAACAACTATGCATATGAGAATCTTCCAAAAAGTTCAGTGATGTTTGTATTTGTAATCATGTTTCCAGAAAAGAAAAATGGTAGTGATGTTAAGAAGAGGTTATATGTACAAAACAAAAAATACCTGCGTAGCTAAAGTACTCTGTATTTGAAACGGTGAGCTTTGGCATCCTGATGATCTGCAGTTCACAGACAGTTGTCAAGCCACACCTGGAGAGTTTTCAGTTATCTTCTACTAGTTCACTTCCATAATTCTTATTTGTGGAGGGTCTCAGAAAGCTACCAAGGACCCAAGGACATGAGGGAACAGTTGTTGTTTATCCAGTCTAAAATTATCAGGGAAGATTGTGAAATTACAGTATCACAAAATGACTGAGGTTGGAAGGCATCTCTGGTAGTCATCTGCTCAAGCATGTCCAGATGACTTTTGAATATCTCCAAGGACTGAGACTCCGCAGCCTCTCTGAGAAGGCTGTGCCAGTGCTCAGTTACCCTTACAGTGAAAAAGTGGCTCCTGATGTTCAGACAGACCCCCCCATGTTTCAGTTTGTGCCTGCTGCCTCTGGTCCTGCCACCGGGCACCACTGAAAAGAGCCTTGTTCCCTCTTCTTAACACCTGCCCTTCAGATATTTATATACATTAGTAAGTTTCCCCAGTAATGTGGACCACAATATACACAATACATACTTGATATCAAGATACTCACTTTTATACTGGTAACACTTAAGATTATATCCTATCCAGGAGCCTGATTAAATGGAACTAGGAAAGCAGCTAGGTGTAGCTAATTTTTTTAGTGCTTGAGAAGGGAAACTGGGAAACACCCAGAAGAAGTCTTAGGTTTGTAGTATTACCCTATTAGAAAGAAGGTTAAAAATAGCCATTAATTTGTTTTGAGTGGATTTGTCTCTAAAAATCGAAACAGTGCTAGTGCATTACTTTTCTCACATTATTTTAGTCACTTGAGATTGACAAGAAATAATTTTCTACCTGTTGTCCAGTCTGAACTAATGTATGGCCGTTCTTGCACTCTCTTCTTCATGACTCACTACCTGCCTAGGAAAGGCAAATGTTTCTTAGAAATTGCTTCTCAGTGGACTACACAGTTTATGCCTCGGCTGTTAGATCTCCTGGGGTCTAAAGGTACTAGGGGGGTATTGGGAGTGGGGGAAGGGTGTAGTAGTATAGGCCTACACAAGTTAACTTGGTTACTGATAGCATGGTAGTGGTGGCATATGGAGCTTAGTGTGGTGGCTTCATGTGGTGTTTACCCATATTTCCCAAGTAATTTTACAGTCTGCTGTAAACTGTGTGTCGCCACAGCTTCTTGTAATCTTTCTGTATTGTGTTTCTGAGATGGCATGCTCTCAGATGCCATACCCAACATTACATTAGAGACAGAATTATTTTTTTTAGAGTTAGTTTCATGATTTCTCCTGCAAAATTAGGTTGTCAACTTCAGAAAGGACTTTAAAAAAAAAACAAACAAACAAACTTTTACTAACATGAGAAATTCACTTCTACAAGCAGTGAGGAAAGATGTGAACCAGAGCAAATCCCACTGAGTGAAACAGAAATTCAGAATCACATTTTTTCACATAGGCCTTCTTATTCCTAGCTTCTTTCTGGTAAAGCATTACTGGTTTTGCAAAGGCAAGGAAGGAGATATGTATGTATGGTAAACATCCTTGATGTTCTCACACCTTCCACTCTTCATTGATGAGAATTTGCTGGTTTTAACAGCTTAGCTAACTGTTCTTGTTTTCAGTTCCTTACCTGACAACTCCTTTCCAGCAAAGGATAAAAGTACAATGCAATTGCGCATTGGTCTAGTCTCCTTCCCTTTATATTTGGTTTGTGTTAGAATAAATTCAAATATCTGAAATGGGGTGTAACTAAACTTCTATAATTATCCATTGAAATAGATATTTTTTTAAAAAATGTCCTGTGCATATTTGAAAGATATTTTTTGTAAATACATAACTCTGTTGCAATAATGAATTATGCGGTAGATTGAGGGAGTAAATAAGATATTCCCAAACACATTCTTCCAGGCTGCTGAGTGTGATTTTAAGAGTTCTGTTTATTTTCTGCTGTCACGCTAGCTGTTGAAGGACACATAATTCACTGGATTGAAAGCAAAGCCTCATTCGGTGACGAAAGTAGCCACCAAGCCTACTTACAGGACCAGTTTTGGAGCTACTGGAACAGGTACCTTTCCACTATTTTTCCTTATAAACAGGACTGTGTTTTTAAAAGAAGTTATGGGAAAAAGCATTAGTGACTATTAAGCTATGTTGATAAAATACATGTTACCAATCCGGCATTTTGAATGTCATTAATTAGTGTGCCAAACTGGAAAGCTGAAATATTTGTGAAAAAGTCACATCATAATTCTTTGCACGCAGCAGATACATATGGTAATTTACAGTAATGCTACTTTGGTACAGAGTAAGTTTGGTACAGAAGTCAAATTTCAATTTTTTTTTAGTACTTGCCTTTGAAGTCAGATTTTGCTGTAATGTTTTGAAATACCTGCAAGCTGCCAAATTTGTTATAAACTCTTCACAGTCTAACCAAGTGGGCTTTATGTGTAAAGAAATTTATTGCTCATTGGCATTGTATCTGGGGTAGTACTGTTTCACTGTTGGTTGGTTTTTTTTAATAAAGTATTTTTTTCATATGTTACCTGTATTTTAACTAGTAATAACAACTGTCTTCAAAATAAAAAATGTAGTAGGTATCTCAGGTACATAAGGAGGGAGATAAGTTATGCTGGACCGAATTTTTGAACATGTCAATGGCATACACAGTATACACAGTATGCTAGAGATTGGAAGGGACCTTAAAAGATCATCTAGTCCAATCCCCCTGCCGGAGCAGGAACACCTAGATAATGTTACACAGGAATGTGTCCAGGCGAGTTTTGAATGTCTCCAGGGAAAGAGACTCCGCAACCTCCCTCGGCAGCCTGTTCCAGTGTTCTGTCACCCTCACAGAGAAGAAGTTTCTTCTCAAGTTTAAGTGGAACCTCTTGTGTTCCAGCTTGTACCCATTACCCCTTGTCCTATCATTGTTTGCCACTGAGTAGAGCCTTGCTCCATCCTTGTGACACTCGCCCTTTATATATTTATATACACTAATAAGGTCACCCCTCAGTCTCCTCTAAACTATAGAGACCCAGTTCCCTCAGTCTTTCCTCATAAGGGAGATGCTCCACTCCCTCAATCATCTTAGTTGCCCTGCGCTGGACTCTCTCCAGCAGGTCCCTGTCCTTCTTGAACTGAGGGGCCCAGAACTGGACACAGTATTCCAGATGCGGTCTCACCAGGGCAGAGGAGAGGGGAAGGAGGACCTCTCTCGACCTACTAACCACTCCCCTTCTAATACACCCTAGGATGCCATTGGCCTTCTTGGCCACAAGGGCACAGTGTTGGCTCATGGTCATCCTGTCGTCCACTAGGACCCCCAGGTCCCTCTCCCCTACACTGCTCTCTAACAGGTCGTTCCCCAACCTATACTGGAACCTGGGGTTGTTCCTGCCCAGAAGCAGGACTCTACACTTTCCCTTGTTATATTTCATCAAGTTATTCCCTGCCCAACTCTCCAGCCTGTCCAGGTCTCGCTGGATGGCAGCACAGCCTTCTGGCGTGTCAGCCACTCCTCCCAGCTTAGTGTCATCAGCAAACTTGCTGATAGTACACCCAATTCCCTCATCTAAATCATTGATGAATATATTAAATAATACTGGTCCCAGTACTGACCCTTGAGGCACTCCACTAGTTACAGGCCTCCAACTAGACTCTGCCCCATAGACCACAACTCTCTGGCTTCTCTCCTTCAGCCAGTTCACAGTCCACCTCACTACCTGATCATCCAGACCGCACTTCCTCAATTTAGCTGTGAGGATGCTGTGGGAGACTGTGTCAAATGCTTTGCTGAAGTCAAGGTAGACCACATCCACCGCTCTGCCATCATCCATCCACCGTGTTATATCCTCATAAAAGGCTAAGAGATTGGTCAAGCATGATTTCCCCTTGGTGAAGCCATGTTGACTGCCCCTCATAACCCTCTTATCCTTGATATGGCTTAAGATGGCACCAAGGATAAGGTGTTCCATCACTTTCCCAGGGATGGAGGTGAGGCTGACCGGTCTATAGTTACCCGGGTCCTTTTCTTGCCCTTTTTGAAGACTGGAGTGACATTTGTTTTCCTCCAGTCCTCAGGCACCTCTCCCGTTTCCCAAGACTTGGTAAAGATGATGGAGAGTGGTCTAGCAATGACTTCCGCCAGTTCCCTCAGCACCCGCGGGTGCATCCCATCTGGACCCATGCATTTATGGATGTCCAGATTGCTCAGCTGGTCTCTAACCCATTCCTCATCGACTAAGGCAAACCGCTCCGTTGACCTGACTTCGTCTAAGGTCTCAGGGGTACAGGGCTCCTCAGGACTGCCTGCAGCAGTGTAGACAGAGACAAAGAAGGCATTCAGTAACTCTGCCATCTCTGTATCTTCTGTCACCAGGGCACCCATCCCGTTCATCAGTGGGCCTACATTGCCTCTGGTGTTAGTTTTATCTGCCATGTATTTGAAAAAGCTCTTTTTGCTGTCCTTGACCCTTCTCACCAGGTTTAATTCTAAGGAGGTCTTAGTCATCCTAGCTGCCTTCCTACATCCTCTAGCAGCAGCCTTATATTCCTCCCAAGTGGCCAGCCCCTCCTTCCATGACCTGTAAACTCTCCTCTTTCACTTGACCATACCCAGCAATTCCCTATTTAGCCACGCAGGTCTCCTGGTCCTCTTCCTTGACTTCCTACGTGTCGGGATGCTCCGATCTTGAGCTCGGAAAAAGCAATCCTTGAATGCCAACCAACTATCTTGGGCCCCTTTACCTTCAAACAGCCTTGACCATGGGATTTCCCCTAGCAATTGCTTGAAAAGGCCAAAGTTTGCCCTGCTAAAGTCCAGGGTTGCAATTCTACTTGCTATTCTACTAGTCCTACCACACAAGATCCTGAATTCCACCATCTCATGGTCCCTGCATTCAAGGCAGCCCTCAACCCTTACTGCTTTGACCAGACCCTCCTTGTTTGTGAGGATGAGATCCAGCAGCGCTCCTCTCCTGGTTGGCTCATCCACCATTTGCAGAAGGAAGTTATCATCCATACACTGGAGGAACCCTGGACTGTGGCTGGGTTGCTGAGTGGTCCTTCCAGCAAACATCAGGGAAGTTAAAATCCCCCACGACGACCACGGCCTGTGACTGTGAGGCCGCTCTCAGCTGCCTGTAGAAGGCCTTGTCAACTTCCTCACCCTGATCTGGTGGTCTGTAACAGACACCCACAACAGTATCGCCCCTGCCAGCCTGCCCACAGGCATTCTCACCCACAGACTCTCAACTCGCTCGTCATCTGTCCCTGGACAGAACTCGGTGCATTGCAGCTGCTCCCGCACATAAAGAGCAACCCCACCACCCCTCCTGGCTGGCCTGTCTTTCCTGAAAAGGACATAGCCCTCCATGACTATATTCCAGTCATGTGAGCTGTCCCACCATGTCTCTGTAATTGCCACCAGATCATAGTCTCCTGACTTAACACAGGTTTCCAACTCCTCTGGCTTATTTCCCATGCTGCGCGCGTTGGTGTACAGACATTCCAGGGAGCGAGCTGAGCACACCGATTTCACCCTAGGATTATAGGTGGCCTCCCAGTCTTCATCAATTCTGGAGTGCTGCCCCACTGGGGCAAGCCCAGCTACAACCTCATCCCCCTTCGAATCTAGTTTAAAGCTCTCCAAATGAGCCCTGCTAATTCGTGCCCCAGCGTCCTTTTGCCTCTGTGAGATAAACCTTTCCCACTTGTCCAGACTGGTACCCTATAAAACCAGCTGTTACCAAAGAATCCAAGGCCCTGCCTGTAGCACCAGTCTCGAAGCCAATCGGTTATGAACTGAATCTTCCCATTCCTTCCCACATCATCAGTGGAAGATGGAAGGAGTGAGGAGAAGATCACTTGAGCCCCAGACTCTTTCACCATCCTCCCCAAGGCCCTGTAGTCTTTCTTCATCCCCCTCAGACTGCGGGAAGCAGCTTCCCCCTCACCTGTCTGGAAGACCAGCAGCAGGTAGTAGTCTGTCGGGTGCACCAGGTTGGGGAGCGCCCTGGTGATATCCCTGATCCGGGCTCCAGGCAGACTACACATTTCCCCATGATGAGGGTCAACTCTGCATATCGGGCCCTCTGTTCCTCTCAGAAGGGAATCGCCTACTACAATGACCCTTCTTTCTTTCTTATCAGAGGCAGTCTTGAGGTGCAAAGTCGACCGCCTTTTCCTATGTGGCCTTGTAGGCTGGCCTTACACCACATCCTCACCTACCTCTCCTTCAAGATCCAGGGCCTCGAACCTATTACTGAGGGACACCTGGGGAAGCAGGGCAGGAAGGGGGGAGGGTTTCCCACGATGCCGAACTGGAACTCGCTTCCAACCCTCATCGGCTTTTTGGTCCCCTACCTCTGCGCAACAGCTACAGGGCAGGGTCTGTCTCAGGCCATCCCCCTCTGTGTGAGAGGGCAGGGGGTCCTTCCCCTTTTGGGGAGTACCTCCCTGGAACTGTTCCGACTGGCACGCCAGGGAGTTACTCCACCAGTCGATCTCCCTTTCACACTCCCTGGTGGTCCTCAGCGTCTCAACCTCCTCCTTAAGTGTTGCCACCAGGCTAAGCAGATCTTCTACCTGCTCACACCTCACGCAGGTGGAATGCTGTCCTCCCTCCCCCGGCAGCAGCAGGCTCTGTCACTCCCTGCATCCAGAGACCTGAACAGCCACGGTTTGGGACGGGGTCTCTGTCTGAGTTGCTGCAGTCACCTTACTGCAAGCTCTCTTTCTGGAGGCAACCATATTGGTCCGCAGTCGGACACCAGCAACAGGGTCAGCAACGCGACCTGCTCGTTCCTCACTGCCCTCTCCGAGGCTCTTTCAAGGCAAGGGGCAGGGGGGTGGTCGCCATCACCGTGGGAACGCCCCCGCCACGTCAGCCGCTCTCTCGCAAGGGCTGCTGGGGCTTCGGGGATCGGGAGATGTCAGGAATCGCGATGTCTCTGCTCTATCCCCTCTGATTTTCCTCATCTCCGTTGACCCTCGCGGTCGCTGAACCGTGCCGGCTGTGGCTCTAGCTAGGCTAGCTCTGATCAGCTGACTGAATGAAGATCAGTA